GTGGGCGACTCCGGGGGTACCGGCTCTGGGGGACGCCGGGGGCGCTGACGTGGAGGGCCCAGCGCGGGCCCGGGCGGGGCTGGGAACTCTTGGATCTGACAGGTAACTTTGAAAAGGAAACCTCCGAGGGAAGGAAGCGCGAGGAAGACGGTGGAAGCACTTCCCCGAGGCCGGGGCCGGCTTCCAGACAGCCTGCGAAGAGAGCCAGGGCAAAGACAGCCTCGGACGCAGACCGAAATCTAGCCGGCAGGTCGGTGACACCCACTCCTAGTGGATGCTAAAAAAAGCCTCTGGCAAGAAATGGAAAGTCCTGCACCCGAAATGCGCAAGCTGGTGTCTCTCGTTTATGGTATTCCTAATTGCTGAATCTTTCAAAAAATAAAAAATTCTCCTACCGTGGCCTGGCTGGCTAAAGAACGGAAGCATGGCAGTGTCCTGCAGTCCCAGCTCCAAAGAGGAGAATACTGGTCCAGCCTGGGCAAAACGGAGACTGGATCTGAAAACAGCTGTAAAGGAGAGGGCTGGAGGCCTGTCACTACTACACTGTTGAAAAACTTAGTAGCTTGTTTTCCCAGAGCCTGGAACAGAGTTGGAACCAGCAAGTATTTCTGATGAGGGAGTCATTTTATGACTGCCACTGCTTATTCTCTTACTCTTTTACATTCTTGTCTCTGGCTAGGGATGTAACTCAGCTTGTGTAGTAGGTCCAGGATTCCACCCAAGCAAAGGAAACGGAAAAATCTTTCTTAGGCTGTTGAGTTCCTGTCAGAACTTACACGCTCCCTTTACCTGATACTTTATAGTGTCTTTGCCATTTCAGGATTGACTTGTCAGCACTCTTAAATACTTATAGAGCTAGCTATATATAGTAAATACAGAACCTGTTTTGTTCTATTGACCTTTTTTTTTAAGGAAGTAAGTTTATGGAAGGCTCATAAACATTTTTTGGTTTCAAGGCCATAGTGCAGTGTCCTGGTTCTAGAACAGAGGATGAAATTAGGCTCTGATACAGTGTCCTCAAATACTGGGCTTTTTTCAACTCAAGCTATACCACTTCAGCAGCTATTTTCAGTAAACCTTTTGTACACCCAGTCTATACTACTGTGTGTCTATGCCAGTCCTTGGGCTTGAACTCAGGGCCTAGGTACTTCCCTAGTGCTATAGCTAGTGCTCAGCTCTACCACTTATGTCATAGCTCCATTTGTGGCTTTTTGGTGTTTAATTGGAGGTAAGAGTCTCACAGACTTTTTTTGCCAGGGCTGGTGATCCAGCCACCTTTTTTAGACAATGCTGCTTTAGAACCTTGGTACACTTGTGAGTGGTAGTTTTATATTTAGGAAAGCCAGAAGCCATTGGAAAGTATTTCCCCTAAGGCAAATAGAACTCTGCTTTGTGAAGTGCTACTTTTTGTGGCTTGCTTTAACTTTTCTTTGTTTTTGTCTTAAAAATTAGGGAACACGCACTAGCCAGTGCTGACTTGGAAGAAGAAACTCGCCAGAACCAAACACAGAAAAAGAAAACTCAGTCTAGTGCTAAAGTATTAGATAGAAAAGTACTTGATGATGTGGATAAGAAACTTGATGTAAGGCAGAGAAAGAAAATTCAAGTCAACCAAGAAGAAGAGAGGTTGAAGAACGAGAGGACTGTGTTTGTTGGGAATTTGCCTGTTACATGCAATAAGAAGGTGAGCTGTGGATTAGTTCTGGTGTGAGTTCAGTTATATGTCATTAGAACAGAATGCCTTTACCTGCAGGCATGTTTTTTTCTGCAAAGCTCTAACCTTCACACATGACAGAGTGCCTCTAACATAGTTTCCATTTGTTGTGTAAAACAAACACATTTTAAGTATCTTACACTATGTGGGTTCACAAAACTACACACAGAACCCTTTGCTTTGCTTCCCCATGTTTTTTTGAACTCTGGGCTTGGGCGCTGTCCATGCCTGTCCGTGTGCTCTTCAGCTCAAGGCGAGCACGCTACTGCTTGAGCCACAGCACCACTTCTGGTTTTCTAGTGGTTTATTGGAGATAAGAGTCTCACGGAGTTTCCTGCCTGGGCTGGCTTTGAACTGTGATCCTCAAATCTCAGCCTCCTGAGTAGCTAGGATTATAGGCGTAAGCCACAGGCACCTAGCTTCCAGTCTTTCTTTGAAATGGCGTGGGGTTTTTTTTGTTTGTTTTTATAAAAACTAGCTGTAGGAGATTATCAGAGTTTCACATCATTATTGTGTTTTTGTGATGTTCTGAAAGTTAAGAAGTGTGTATGTTTTCATTTTAGAAGCTGAAGTCATTTTTTAAAGAGTATGGACAAATAGAATCTGTACGATTTCGCTCTCTGGTATGTTTCCTCTCCCAGTCCTTAAAAGGGGGTAGTGTTAAAGTGTTTTGTGTTAGTCAGATTTACTGACTACTGATTTAGTACTAGTACGATGGAAGAACACCTGACTTGAGCCTCATGATCCCTTTCTCAAAATGTGTGCGTGTAGTTAATGAGGCTGGAGGCATAGCTCAGTGGTAGAATGCTTGAGACCCTGGTTTTCATCCCTAGCACCAAAAAAAAAAAAAAAGAATGAAAATACGACTTAATTTCAAGTATTTAATTTTATTTGCATCATCTTTTTTTTCCCTCAAAGATTCCAGCAGAGGGTACTCTATCCAAAAAGTTGGCTGCAATAAAGTAAGTCTATAAAGGAAATGTGTTGACTTAAATTCCTTCTTTTTGATTAAGAATTGGTACCATGGGCTGGGAAGGTGGCTTAGCGGTAGAGTGCTTGCCTTGCATGCATGAGGCCCTGGGTTCGATTCTCCAGCACCACATAAGCAAAAAAAAAAGAAAAAAAATGGGGCTGGGAAGGTGGCTCAGTGGTAGAGCGCTTGTCTTGCCTGCCTGAGGCCCTGGGTTCGATTCCTCAGCACCACATAAGCAAAAAGAAAAAAGCCAGAAGTGGCGCTGTGGCTCAAGTGGTAGAGCGCTAGCCTTGAGCTGAAGAGCTGAGGGACAGCTCCCAGGCCCAGAGTTCAAGCCCACGACCGGACCCCCAAAAAAAAAAAAAAAGAATTGGTACCATTTCTTACTGATTTATAGACTACTGTATTTAGATAATGTAGTTTGTTTGACTGTGTCTGCAATAGCATGTAGATTTGTCAGCTTTTTATCTTCAGGCCTTAAACTATAAATGGTAAGGATTTTAGAAACTATTGTAAGGTAATTTGCTGGAAAGTATGCTGTGAGAAATGTCAAGAACATTCATAAGTTTGTTCCAGATTTTCTATAAATCGTAAATGCTGTATTTCTCTCATAGTTGCTGTTGAAGTAGCTTGTTTTTGTATATTTGGGGTGCCAAAGACTGCCACTCCCAATCAGATTTCTGCAGGTTACTGGGGCCTGCTGCTTGCCTATGGCCACTTTGTTTTCTGTTTGAAAGTTTGGGGACCATGCAGATAGTGTGGATGAGGGGTTCATTCTCTGGAAATTCTGTCAAATGTCCTTCCTTTCTTTATGAAGGGTTTAATCCTCATTTCTCTTTAGCCTTGTGTGTATTTTCATATTAGTCTTACCACTTTGAGTGGGATGGGGGAGGCTGCCAGTGCTAAGGCTTAAATCAGGGCCTCACCCTCTTGCTTGGCTTTCCTAGCTCAAGGTTGGTATGCTATCATTTGAGCCACATCTTGGGTTCCATTTTGGTTATTTTGAGACAGTGTTTTGCTATGGAGTCCAGGCTAGCCTCAAACTCATGACCCTCCTGCCTCTGCCTCCTGAGTGTCCTGGCTTTATAGGTGGTTACTGGCATTGTTTCTGTGGCTGTGTCCATGTATATTACTGGGGCTTGCATTCAGAGCTTGGTGCTTGTATTTCTGTTACTTCAGAATGCCAGGTTGACGTCTTCAGTGAAAGATCTGTATCATTAAGGTCCAGGTCTCCTTTTCACTAGCCACAACATGCTATATCAGCTTTTGTAAGTCCAGCCAGTCAATGGGTTTAGAGAACAAACTCCAGTCATCAGGAGTGAAATTCAGTCGCAACATGCCTCCCCATGAAAGAACAACCAACCCTGTCTATGGTCTTCATCAGACATTGGGAGCCAGCTGTCAGTTTGCATGGTGAAACTGCACTGCTCTCTTGCAGCCAGCGAAGTCCACGCTGTGTGTGCAAAACTTGTATTCAGCCGGGCGCTGGTGGCTCACGCCTATAATCCTAGCTACTCAAGAGGCTGAGATCTGAGGATCGTGGTTCAAAGCCAGCCCGGGCAGGAAAGACCGTGAGACTCCTATCTCTAATAAACCACTAGAAAACCGGAAGTGGCACTGTAGCTCAAGTGGTAGAGTGCTCGCCTTGAGCTGAAGAGCTGAGGGACAGCGCCCAGGCCCAGAGTTCAAGTCCCACGACCCATTAAAAAAAAAAAAAAAACTTGTATTCAAACTGCAAGCAAAGATTAAGGGAGAATCCTGTGAATGAACCAGTATTTCAAAGACATACTTCCCCATTATACAGACAAGACCAAAGCTAAATGTGTAGGAATAGATGTGCAGGGTAGAACCACAATGCTAGGCAGGGAATGGTCCACAGAAACATGGGGTGGGAATTAAGAATGAAGAAAGATGGGCGGTGACTGGAATGGGCCACGGAGAGCCTGCTGGGTGGGTGGTGGTTGATGGCTGCTGAGCCTCCACCTGTGGTTGATTCTCTGTACATGGCTGTGCACTTGTCTCTGTGAGAGTTTGAGCTGATAGTAAGAAAGAGAAACCAGGATTGGGAAGGTGGTAGAGTGCTTACCTTGTGTGCATGAGACCGTGGATTTGATTCCTCAGCACCACGTAAGCAGAAAAAGCTGGAAGTGGCGCTGTAGCTCAAGTATTAGAGCACTAACCTTAAGCTGAAGAGTTGAGGCCAGACAAGATGGGGGGGGGGAGGAGGAGGGAGAGAAGTCAGTGAGATACAGAGCTGTGGCTAAGACTGAATTTCTAGTCCTTGTATTGTTCTTAGGGATCGGTACATGCTGGCTCCTGGGAGTGTGGACTTTGTGTTCCTACTCTTTTTATAATCTGTTTCTCCTTTAATTAGTGGATATTTATTGAAAAGATGAAACTTGACCCAGGGATCTTGTCACATATGCTAAGAAAACAAGCTCCATGTGTTCTGGTGACTAAGGCCACCAGACTTACATTGTCTTCATTGTTTCTGTAGACGTAAAGTTCATCCTGATCAGAAAACTGTGAACGCTTACGTTGTGTTTAAAGAGGAGAGTGCTGCTGCGAAGGCACTGAAAAGGTAATGGTGCTACTGCCTGGAAACAGCATGGCCAGCAGATGTATCACTTTATTCTGTGGCTTCACTGTCAAGCAAATGTGTTTGTAATCATGTGCTCCATCTTCCCCTTTTATTTATAAAACAGAAATGGGGCCCAGATTGCAGATGGATTTCGTATTCGAGTTGATCGTGCATCTGAGACGTCATCTGTAAGTCATCTGTTTAAAGAACCTAGCAAGAGCCTTGTGGAGAGAGTTCTCTTCTGAGATTTGCTGGAAGACACAAAGCCAGCACTGTAAGAGGAAGAGCCTTCACTTCATATCATGGGGTCACAAGACCCCTCCCACACATATTTGATTAACTAGAGAAAGTGAGGCCAAAGGTCCTTAACCTTTTTGTAGGGCTGGAGGTTAAGGAAATGTTTGTTCATTGGACAGTTTTGAGAAGCCTCTCTGTGGGCACGAGGTCCTGAGACAACATCTTAATTTATAGTATATGTAGAGACATATAGTATATGTAGAGACAAGCTGTTCTGTGGCTTGTGTTGCATAGGTACAGAGGGAACTTCATCAGATTGGGATCTGGGTACTTGACTTGGGGACTTGCTGGCAAGAAGGGGAAGGCGGGTTCCAGGAAAGCAAGTCCTTTCTCGAAAGATGAGAAGCCATCCAGCAGGAAAGTTTAATGAGAGTCATTGCAGTGTCTGGACAAAAGGGCAGACTACCTGACTGGGACTAGTTCCTGGGTGAAAGGGGTACAAGGGCTATCATGACCTTTTTGTTGTTAGAGGTCAAATCCTGAAGATCCTTGTTTGCCATGCTTCATTTGGAGCATTCCGAATCTTGTCTGGAGCTATCCCAAAGTTGCAGTGCTGCAGTGATATGAGCAGACTGCACCTGCAAACAGAGGCAGGGTGGACTGTAAAGGACAGAGTATGCTTCTATTGATGTCAGAGTGGCCTGGTTGAAATGAGCATGGAGAAAAGTCCTGGCTTTATTGGGGATGGGTCACAGGATCAGCATATCTACCCTCCAGCATTGGTTAATGTTGTGGGCGCACACCTTATATGCGTACAGAACTGACCACGTAGCCCCCCAGGGTGAAACACTTGCTTACTTTCCATAGGAAATGTTTGCCATTCCCAATAGAGCAAACCTTTGTGTGTACGTGTGTGTGCACGCACACGCATTTGTATGTTCATTGTACCAAGAGATTTCACTTTGTATTTCAGAGAGACAAAAGATCAGTCTTCGTGGGGAATCTTCCTTACAGTAAGTTGGAGCAAAAGGTTTTGCTATTCAACATTGGAGAAGGGGTGGGGTATTTAGGAGTAGAGCCCTTGCCTGGCCTGCATGAGGCCTTGAATTCAGTCCCTAGCTGTAAGATGTGCTGTGTAATGGAGTTTGTTCATCTGTTGCCTCATCATACATCCCCACTTTGTAAAGGGAGGCCGAGCCTTAACCTTCATTTGGTGAATTTCTTCTCAGAGGTGGAAGAACCTGCGCTGGAGGAGCACTTTGTGGACTGTGGGTGTGTTGTGGCCGTGAGGATCGTGAGAGACCCAGTTACAGGAGTTGGCAAGGGCTTTGGCTATGTGCTCTTTGAGGTATGGGAGACAAGTATGCATTGTTACTGGCCTTTGGCTTCAGGGAGGGGTCTTTGCTGAGTCAGCCTTCAGAGACCCTCAGATTCCAACTTCAAACTCACCAAACAGCCTTCACCTTAGATTAGGTTGCTGTAGCTGCACTCAGCTAAAAAATATTCTAGTTTCTTCTTCCTGTTAACGTGGTTAAATGATGTTTTAGATATTGGGTGTTAGAGGGACTAAGTCTCTGAATAACCCACAGAGAAGAAATTTTTCAGGTCTCTACAAGGTACTCATGTATGGTCCACTAGTTAATACCAAAATGTTTCAAGCCTAACATGAGTAAATTAAATTTTGCTTCCTAAGCAATCATCTACTAGTGTTTCGGTTTTTCCTGTGTGTTCCTTTTCATAGTTGCACCTGTATCTGTGGTATTGTTTTCTGCAATGCTGCCTTAATGGTCATGAATTGCTTTAGTCTGGGCTTATCAGGGAAGGTCTTCACTTTAAAGGTTTGGTATAGTAATCTTGGGTGGCAGCTACTTGCTTGGACTCCTTCAGTCCATGCTCTCCTGAAAGTCTGGTTGATCTGATGACTTTGCTTAAGTATATTAGTGTAGTGTTTTCTTTTAGAACTTTCAAGTATTGTTTGTTCTGCACTACTGATTACCATTTTACTATGATGTGGAAAGGTTTCTGTTTAGGTCCTAAATGCCTCAAGTGCTTAGATGTCTATTTCTTTCCCTACAGCTGCAAAGTTATCCACTATAATTCCATTGAGTAAGGTTGCTAGCCTTCAGTCGATCTCGATTCCCTTCTTGGTGGAAACTCTTTTGCTGACAAGGGAGCCCATATAATCCAGTATGATCTGAACATTGAGGAGGCAGATTGAGGGATTTCAGGGAAATTTGGGGGCTCTGGGGACACCTGAGGCATGCTATAGCAGAGTGGCTCTGCTTGTAAGAACCTATTAGAGTCCAAATTTTACTATTCTTCTTGGGTAGATGTTTCTTAGTAGAAATTGATATATCCCTTTTTTCTGTCCTTATATAGAATACGGATGCTGTTCATCTGGCTCTGAAGTTAAATAATTCTGAGCTAATGGGAAGAAAACTCAGAGTCATGAGATCTGTTAATAAGGAAAAATTAAGACAAAATTCAAATGCGGGTTTGAAGAGTACCAGTAAACCTAAGCAGGGATTTAACTTTGCTTCCACACATGCAAGACAGTCTAACAGTATATTTCTTGGAGAAAAAGCTGTTCTCATTAAGAAGAAGAAGAAAGGGCAGAAGAAAAGTGTACAAATTAAGAAACCAAGAAAACAAAAGTCATGATGAAGTGGCTTTTCTGTGGACTATTGTTGTGACAGTAGATCTGTGGATTGTGTCCACTTTTTATTGTTTAATGTATGTAAAAATGTGAATATTTTACATTGCTAGTTTACTCACATTGTAATACTTACTTGAAGGGATTTTATATGTAAACAGATTTATTACCATAGGATCTGAGTTACTACTAATGGCAGTACTGGCCCAGGGTGAACATACAGATTATTTTCATACAGAATATTTTCTCTCAAGAATATTGTTTGTATTAAACTAAGCTAAAGAATGATTAAATTTAAGAAAATAAAGCTGGGTTCTGATGGCTTACACCTGAATCCTACCCTTCTGAGAAGGAGGCTAAGATCTGAGGATCCCAGTTCAAAGCCAACTTGGGTAGAAAAATCCGTGACACACTTATCTCCAATTAACTACCAAAAAAACAAGAAGTAGAACTGTAGTGGTAGAGCACCAGTCTTGAGCAAAAAACTTAGCACTCATTCCCATTATTGGCACAAGGGAAAAAACAAAAACCCAAACTTTTAATATTGGTTATATATATATTTGGGGGGGAGGGGCAGGCAGTCTGGTCGTGGGGCCTGAACTCTGGGCCTGGGTGCTGTCACTCAGCTCTTCAGCTCAAGGCTAGCACTCTACCACTTGAGCCATAGCGCCACTTCTGGCTTTTTTCTTTTTGCTTATGTGGTGCTGAGGAATCGAACCCAGGGCCTCATGCATGCAAGGCAAGCACTCTACCACTGAGCCACCTTCCCAGCCCCTATTGGTTATATATTGATGTCGTTGGTGAGTTTCATATAAGACAGATTACTTTCACTTCAGTTTTTATTTGAAAAGTATTCTCCAACAAAACCTGTATCCTTAAAATTAGCGTCACTTGGTAGAATGAAACAATCTTTCCAGAAAGTCGTTAAAGGAAATATTTTCTAATAAAATTAAGATAAAATTGAGACACACTGTTGTAATCTTCGAACTTAGAAGGTTTCAAGTTCCCAGTCTGAGCCACATAGATCTATGTCAAGAGAGAAAACATGCACACATAAATGTATGCAGTTGAACACTGCATACATGTGGGTGTATATATGTCATTAAAGGAGAAAAATGCAGTTTTCCTCTTGGCTCAACTGATTAGGAGTCAGTGACTTATTTATACCAAATTTTGGTCTATATTCTTGATCCAGACTTTAGGGAAGTGAGAAAAACTGAACTGATGATCCAAGACAAGTAGAATCTATAGTGAGCATGTCTCAACATCACTGAAATCAGAACAGGGTGATGTAAGCAGAACTGATTGTGAAAATTCTGTTTTGGGGGAAGAGCACATGGAACCCCCTAGGTCTTTAAAATGTAGCTCTGGAGAGAACAGAATTACATTTTCTTCAGGACAGAACATTTTTGTTTTTTTTCTGGCCTGTATAGGCTTTGAACTCAGAGCCTTACACTCACACTAAACTTACCAATTGAATTATGCCTCCAGTCCAGCATTTTGCTGGCTAATCAGAGATAAGAACCTCACAGAGTTTTCTGTCTGTGCTGGCCTAGAATGGAGATTCTCCAAGTTTCAGCCTTTTGAGTAGTAAGCATCACAGGTGTGAGCCACCAGTACCAAGAAGCTGAGTATTTTTATTCTTGGCATCCCTTAGTGATCGTAGAACCTTATTTTCTAGAAATTATGCCCAGTAAATATTACCTGACCATTGGGTATTTCTGCACATATTCTGGTTAAATTTGTGAAAGTTCAGGGCATCTGTAGACTGTATAGATGGTACATACATATGAGGCTCTGTGGTGACCTCAGGGCTCTGCTGAGTGGGCAGTTTTTTTTGGGGGGGGGTCCAGTCGTGGGGCCTGAACTCTGGGCCTGGGCGGTGTCCCTCAGCTCTTCAGCTAATGCTCTACCACTTGAGCCACAGCACCACTTCCGGCTTTTTTTCTTTTTGCTTATGTGGTGCTGAGGAATCAAACCAGGGCCTCAGGCATGCAAGGCAAGCCCTCTACCACTGAGCCACCTTCCCAGCCCGAGTGGGCAGCTTTTTAAAGCTGAAGAGAATGTTACAGTTCTACTTGGCAGTTTTGTGTATGTTTAGTTTCTACTTTCTCTAACAGACTATGCCTGTGTTGCTATAATAGTTTGACACATTTGACATAGGAAAACAATGTGGGTTTTAGAAAAACTTCCAGAGATACTTAGTCATGGTCTGTAACTTGGAAAAATGCTGGTTATCAATTTCAGTGAAGGTTTCTTGTCATAACTGTTAAAATCTGCCTTCCAGTGGTTGTAATAAAGGTGACTGGTCATTTTGGTTCCTTGTGAGAGTTCCTGTCCTTGTCTTCCAACCTGGCTCCCGAGCCTTCGGTCTCAGGCAGGTCTTTGTATGCACAGCCTTTGGCTTCTGCTGGCTGTGAAACTCTACAGCCGCTCTTTCCCACTCACCTTGAAGATCACAAACAGGCCATGGAGAGAAGCCTTTCATAGGGCCACATGGGGAACTGCCGGCCTGCTTACAGCCTGGAGGGAGGCAGGCCCAGCCCTGCAGGTTCAGGCGGGCCGCGGGGAGGCACCTCCTCCGCTTGGTGGACGGGGCTCGCGTGGCCGCGGCTGCTGCGTAGCTTCCCCTCGGGTAAGCCAGCATGGGTGCCACCCAGGGTCTGACCCCACCCCCCGCCCGGCCCCGGAGGAGTCCGCAGCCCTTCCCAGAAAGCACCGCGGTCTAGGGAGCAGCTCCAAGCCCCCGGTGCGCACGCGCACTGGGGTCAAGAGCGCGGGCGCTCGGGACCGCAGTCCTCGCCCGGCGTCCCCGCCTCGGTACTCACGACGGCGGCCCCGGCGGCCGAGCCGCGTCTTCCCCACTGTTGGGCTCCGTTTCCATCGCCTCATAAAAGCAACGCTGCACGGCAGCACTGAAGCGAATCGGGAGTCTAGTTCGGGTCCTACCGCACCTAGCTGCAGGGAGAGGGCGCCGGCGGCAAGGCTCGGGCTGGCCTCCCGGCGTCCTCATCGCACGCCTGGTCCACCGGGCGTGACGCGAAACGCCCCTATCACGCATGCGTCTCAGCCCCCTCCCTCCCCCTCCCACTCCCACTCCGCGGTGGACACGCGTCCTTACGCGCAGGCGCATCCGGGCTCAGGGGCATACGCTCAGGCACCGCCGCAGACACCTCGGGGTCCTCGAACGCCGGAAGTGCCCGCGTTTTGCTTTTCGGCGTCCTGGCCGGCGGGCGTCGGCTGCGTGCGGCCCGCGCGCTGTGAAGGCTCGCGGCCAACCGCTCCGTTGCCCGCCGCGGCCGGCGCACGCCGCAGTCCGGGAAGATGGTGGGCCGCAACAGCGCCATTGCCGCGGGCGTGTGCGGGGCCCTCTTCATCGGCTACTGCATCTACTTCGACCGCAAGAGGAGGAGTGACCCCAACTTCAAGAACAGGCTTCGCGAACGTGAGTAGGCCCGACCGGGTGTCGGCCTCCCTGGGCGGGCCGCCGCGCGGCCGCCTCGTGGTGCGGCCCGGAGGACATGGCGGCGCCGCGCGCCCCGGGCGGCCCTCTCAGCTGCCTTCCCGCCGCCCGCTCTCCCTCCAGTCCTCCCAGCTCCTCTATCTGGGGCCCGGGTCGCCCGCCCGTCCTCCAGTCCTCCCTCCCGTCCTCCCATCGCTGCCCTCCGGGATCCGGGCCGCCCCCGCTCGCCGCCTCCCTCCGGGGCCCGCGCCGCCCAACCCCCTCCCGTCCTCCTATCGCCTCCCTCCGGGGCCCGGACCGCGGCCCCCCCCCCTCCCACGTTCTGGAGGGGACCCGTCCTCCATCTTTGCCCTGGCCCGGCGGGGTGGGTGGCTCGGGGACTCCGGAGCCCAGTGCGGTGCATTCTTAAACCCTCCTGGCCGCCGCGCGCCGGCGCCTCCAGGATACGAGTGAATGCGAGAGCAAGTGCAGGAAGTCCAAAGGGCTGCGCGCCCTCCGTGGCTCAGCCCTATTTCCTCCCTGCGACAGCTCGTGAGAGGCTCGCCTTGGAGCTCCGCGGGGGCGGGGTGCGCGCCCACGTGGTGCAGGCCCGCCGCGGCGCGGAGTCCTCCCGAGGGCGGCGTGGTCACGCGCGGACGCGAGGCGCACCCGTGAGCTCGTCCACGCCCAGGCGGACTCACGAAGAACACTGTGTTGGGTTCGAGACCGGTCGCGGGTGATGAGGCCTCCCTTAGCTGTTCGGTCCGGGTGCGGCCTGGGCCTTGTGGAGGTGGAGAGCGCGGAAGCCCACCACTGTCCTGGGCAGGCCTCGATCGCGCGCTGCCCACGCGGTGCGGCCCTTCGCTAGGGTGCAGACGTGGACGGCGCCGTGAGGAAGGGCTTTGCCCGCCCTTCCCTGGCACGCCCGGGGAAGTCTGACTTCGGAGGGGAGAAATCAGAAGAGCTGTCACTGTAGACGCGTTGAGGACTCTTAATTTTCAAAAGTCCTTTTCATCCAGTGTTTTTTTCTACCTGAAGTAGATGATCGCAGTTCGTGGCCACCATCTAGGGCAAGCTGCTTCACGCCTTAGTTTGATAAGGAAATAAGTAAAATTTTGTTTTTGTTTTTGTTTTTTTTTGCTAGCGAGTGAATCTACTGAAAATTGATTGGTTAAGGAAAAGGAGACTTTGTTATTAAGGGTTAGTCCTAGGCTCCTATTTCATCGTTTTTGGATTTTGTTAGCCTATTATACATATTCTTGTTTGTGCTAAGTGTGTCACCCAGGGCCTTGAGCACATCAATCACTCGGTCTACCACTGAATTACATACTCAGTCCCAATTAGCACTCTTAAAGCACAGTTTTTTATTTTTTTGTCAGTCCTGGGGCTTGAACTCAGGGCCAGGGCACTCAAGGCTAGCACTCTACCACTAGAGCCACAGCACCACCTCCAGCTTTTTCTGTTTATATGTTACTGAGGAATCGAACCCAGGGTCTCGTGCATGCAAGGCAAGCACTCTACCACTAAGCCACATTCCCACCCCGTAAAGCACAGTTTTCATCCATCTTTACTAATAAGTGAAATTTAACTTCCAAATCACAGTGCATACTGCAGGTACATTTAGAAATGTACCTCTGAATGACATACCATTTTACGTCTATTTCATCTACACAGTAAGGATAAAATGGCATGTCATTTTGAAGTATACTAAGGAAGTGTCTGAAAAGTGATTTGGTTTGGAAATGATCGTAAGCTATGTTTTACTTTTTTTTCTTGCGGTCGTGGGCCCTGAACTCCAGGCCTGGGCGCTGTCCCTCAGCTCTTCACCTCAAGGCTAGCACTTTAACACTTGAATTGCAGAGCCACTTCAGGCTTTTTCTGCTTATGTGGTGCTGAGGAATTGAACCCATGGCCTCATGCATGAGAGGCAAGTGCACTCTACCACTGGGCCACCTTCCCAGCTCCATTTTTTTTTAAGGTAGACATACCTTTTTTAACTTGTTTGATTCACGCAGCAGCATTTGGTACTACAGTCAGCTAATGCTGGGTTAGGTCTGGTTTTGCTATGTTACTCTTTAGAATTTTGATTTTTCAGTCTGTTGCCATCTTTTCCTCTGTCACAGATACAATTTATTTTGTAAAACAGTTTCATAATTTTAATCTTATTGCTAAAAATGAAAGGCAATTAAGGGAGCTTAAAATTCCAGAACTATCAATCAAATGTATTCTGCATTAATCACACACTCCTCCACGCCTAAGTTTAAAAAAAAATCTGGAGTTGGGCGTGGTAGGCCACACCTATAATCACAGAAAGTCCAGGGAAGTAGAGGCTGGAGGTTGGAGTTTTAGGTGAGCTAGCTTGGGCTAAATAGACCCTGTCTCAGACAAAAACATAAATAAAAACAAAACCTGTATTTGAATACTGCTGGGAACTCTTTTCACTCTAGTGTGATTCATTATCTTCTGTCAGTTTGCCAAAGTTCTGGTTTAACAGACTGTATGTATTTCATTGCTTATTGCACAATACTTGTTCATTTCTCCCCCCTCCCCCTTGGCAGTACTAGGGCTTGAACTTACAGCTTCGTGCTTGGTATTCAGACCTCTACCACTTGAGCCGGCTTCGAGCCATTTTTGCTGTGTTGAGATGTATCTCAGTAGTTACCTGTGCCATGGACATTAATGCTCTTAACACCTCCCATTCAATCTTTTTCTGTTGAGATGAGTAAGAATTCTGTGGATGGTTGCTTTGGTTGGCATTGAACACCAGTTCCCCAGCTCTTGGCCTCATGCATAGTTGGAGTGACAGGCACGTTGTACTGCACCCAGCTATTTGAGATGAGGTCTTGAGAACTTCTTGCTCAGACTGGCCTTGAACCAGGATCCTCCTGGATCTCTGCCTCCTGAGTAGCTAGGATTGTAAGCATAAGCCATGGTCCTTGGCTTTTGCTCATTTCTGAAATGTCTTTTATCATAATGAATATGTTGCTCTATTGAGTTTTGAGTCAGCTGCCTGTGTTTGAATAGCCACTCTCTTGCTGTTACCCTGTAACAAGGGGATGGCAGTACTATACCTGCTTTTTGAGTTTCTGTGAAGATGGATTAAATAACCTATTTTGTGCCATTAGACAGCCAAAACTTAAGCAGATTGGGAGTAGAATTATTACTTTGATGTTAGTGCAGCCCCTTATCTAAGAATAGTCTCATTGTAGATGCTTACGTGCTCATAGAGTGGAACACAAGCTAGGTAGCTTTAAGTGACATTGTTCACCTGCTAACTCCTCACAACCGTCCTGTGGGGTTCCTGTCCTTAGAGCAGGTTTCTGAAGAAATTGTACTGTCTGTTCCATGGATTGATTTGAAGAGCTGACTGGTTAAGAACTATAGTTTTGTTTGATAACCCTCTCCCCCTCTCTCCCTCCCTCTGCTTGGGTTTGCTAGCAGGACAGGGCCTGTCCATACAGCTCCCTCTGCCCTTAGCCTCTCAGTGCTGGGATTCCAGACACATGTTCCCACAGCCAGTAACTGGAGTATAGATGTCTCTCTCCTGAGACTTTTAAGTATATTTCATACCAGAAACTAAACAAGTCACAAATGATAGGCTGTTTTCCTTCACCAGTAATATTCAACTAAGGCTGTAAAGGTGAGGTTCTAAGCATTTTGCCATTGCTTTCTTATGTTGGGTGCATACTGTGTTTTGTTTTTTGATAACTTGGTTAAATACAGCTTTTCCATTTTAGGATGTGCTACATGTCAGTAATAAGGCTTGATGACAGTGGCCTAATTCTCTCTGTTCCGTGTCCTGTGTATGTAGGAAAGGGGTGTTGGCATTGCCGCTGGAGCTGTGAATTGCTAGACCTGGTGGCCCAGAGAACAAGAGAGTGCTCTCGCCCAGAAATGCCACTTGCCTGAGTTCACTTCGACTGCAGCTATTCCCAGGTCCCTGACAGACCCTAGGGAGGCCAGGCAGGACCCAGCCATACCACTTAGACTTTTGATTCTTGTTTTGATTACAGCTAAAGAAAAATATAACATTTCTTACAGGAAGAAAGAAACAGAAGCTTGCGAAGGAGAGAGCTGGGCTTTCCAAGGTAATGTTTAGTCTGGTTTTTTTCATTACAGAGATAATGTCCAAAAATCTGTCTTTTGAGGTATGTTTTGAGAGGCTCTGCTATTGGATATTGATTTTGTGCTCAAAATTGTGTTATTAGGGGAATGGCTTAGCAGGGCATTGGCAGGTTCTATTGGCCTCCAGGACTTCTTTCTGTACTAACAGCTTAGTGTTTCCGCGGGTTTAGGGAAGCTGTAGATGAAAGTCTCAGATGCTTCAAGATGATAAAATGTAGTGTTAATTTAGTTGTCCTTGTTTTATCTTTGCTGTTCATTTCCAAACTTAGTCAAGATTATTCCTGACTACTGATGCAATCCTGCCAGGTTCTTACAACTTTAGTTCTCTTGTAAACCTTCCCATTTTTTCTTTCCATAGATGCTAATGTTCATTATTTCATATGACTATATAGATTTATCTGCTTGATAAAATAATCTGCTATGGTATATGTAACTAAAAAAATGTTAGCCCCTGCTGCTTCCCCAACTTGTATCTGTGAGTACTGTGATTTGAGCTCGGGGCTTTATACTCGTTAGGCAAGCACTCTTACTACCTGAGTTAGGCCTCCAATCCCCTCCCTTTTTTTGGTCAGTCTTGGGGCTTGAACTCAGACTGGGCACTGTCCTTGAGCTCTTCAGCTCAAGGCTACTGCTATGCCACTTTGAGTCTGGGCTGGCTTTGAGCCATCGTCCCCAGATCTCAGCCTTCTGAGTAATTAGGAATACAGGCGTGAGCCCGCAGTGCCAGACTCTCCAACCTTTTTGCTCTGTTAACTTTTTTAAGATAGAGTCTCACTTTCTCCCTGCCTATGATTCTCCTATACTTTCACAGCTGTAGCTGGAGTGCCAGGGGATCACCACTATACCCAGCTTTTTCTGTTGAGATGGGGATTTCATGAATTTTGTCTGGGCTGGCTTGGAGCTGCAATCTCCTTGCCTTAGTACCTGTGTAGTTGGGATGAGAGTTAATTGTGCATCACCATGCCCAGCTGTGTTGGTTGAGATGGAGGGCAGGAGGGGTGGGTCTTATAAACATTTTGCCCTGGCTTTCCTGGAACCACAATCCTTCTTTATCTCTGTCTCCCTAATAGCTAAAGTTGTTGCACGCAAGAGCCAGGGAAATGCAGCCTGTGTGTTCCCATAGTAATTCAGATTTATTTTCTGGATTTCTAGGATATTTGGACCGTAGGTCACTAATGGCCCTGTCTGTGGTACTGAGGAATTGAACCCAGGGCTTCATGCATGCTAGGCAAGCACTCTACCACTGAGCCACCTTCCCAGCCGCACTAACGGCACTTTGAAAATCAGGTTAAAGGAAAGAAAACTTGAAACACAAATGTGAAGTTTTGGTTGTGTTTTGTTTTTTGTTTTGTTGGTTGGTTGTGGGGCTTGAACTCTGGGCCTGAGCACTGTCCCTCAACTCTTCAGCTCAAGGCTAGGGCTCTACCACTTGAACCACAGTGCCAGTTCCAAATGGGAAGTTTTGTTACTGTGAAACAGTCGGGGGTGGGGGTAATGGGAGGGCTTGCTCATGTAATTGTAACCCCTCTGTACGGTATTTTCACAATTAAAAAAACTCATTAATAAGAAAGAAAGGAAACGAAGGAAGGAAGGAAAAAAAAGTCTCATCCACACTGAGTGGCCTGGTAAGGTAATGAAGGGGGAAGCCTGTAAAGAATGTTTGGCTATTGAAATGTGTCCAGGCTGCTGCTCACTGTGATTTGTTCTGTAGTCTCTTCTTGGTAAGGGGTAGGAAATACACCTCAGCCCCCATCAGTATGCATTTTCACATTTAAAAATATCATTAGATTCTCTCTATACACTGAGATGGTCATTGAAAAATGCCTTTATTTTGAGAAATTTTTTTCGTATGTAATGGATAGAATGTGTACAATGTAATTTAAAACTAAAAATTTTTCATTAATGGAAGTCAGGTTTTTTAAATGTCGGTTTAAAAAATAGTTTACATTTTAAAAAGGAAAGGCTGGGGCTGGGAAGGTGGCTCAGTGGTAGAGCGCTTGCCTTGCATGCATGAGGCCCTAGGTTCGATGCCTCAGCAGCACATAAGCAAAAAAAAGCTGGAAGTGGCGCTGTGGCTCAAGTGTTAGAACACTAGCCTTGAGCTGAAGAGCTGAAGGACAGCGCCCAGGCTCAAAGTTCAGGCCCCACGACCGGACCCAAAAAAGAAAAAGAAAAGAAAAGGCTGTATAAATGGAGGTGTGGCTGAAGTGGTAGACTGTAAACTGTGCTAGCCAAACAAGCAGGAGCTTGAGGTTCTGAGTAAGTAGAGATGCCCATGGAAATCTATAATGGCATTATAAAAATAACATAAGGTTGAAATATTGGATAGCGTGGATATTTATGTCCTTCATGTTTTCTTAATGTTTGAGCAAAACTTTTAAAGGCTAGGCACTGGTGGCTCACCCCTGTGATCCTAGCTGCTCAGGAGGCAGAGGTCTGAGTTGTGGTTCAAATTAACCCCGGCAAGAAAGTTCATGACATTGAGTTCTCCAGTTAACCACCAAAAAGCCACAAGTGGAGCTGATGCTCAGGAGGTAGAGCACTAGCCTTGAGCAAAATAGCTCAGGACAGTGCCCACGCCCTGAGTTCAAGCCCCAGGACCAACACACATATGAAATGCTTTCAAAGAACTATTGAAATAACAGTCTAACCAGTAAGTACTTCATTTTAATGTAGATAAACTAAATTCTGAGGTTTTTCTTAAATAGTTCTTTGTTTAGTCTTCAGTTTTGCTGAGTTTCTGTGTATTGGTTCTATCCCTGGCACAGTGTTGATCTCAATTTCTATGTTTTGTTTCCAGTTACCTGATCTTAAAGATGCTGAAGCTGTCCAGAAATTCTTCCTTGAGGAAATACAGCTTGGTGAAGAATTACTAGCTCAAGGTAATATAGAAATCAGCCAGACACTGGCTCAAGTGGTTCATGCCTGTAATCCTAGCTGCTCCAGCTTGATATCTGAGGATCAAGGTTTGAAGCTAGCCTGGGCAGATAAATCCAAAAGGCTATTTTTACTCCAGTTAATCAGTAAAATGCCAGATTTAAGGTGTAGTTCAAGTGGTAGAGCATCAGCCTTGAGTGTAAAAGCTAAGAGACAGGCCCAGGTCCCCATCACATACACAAATATATGTATGTATGCTTGCTTTGTGTCTATGTATGTATGTATGTATGTAGTTGGGCTTGATATGTACCTGTAATCCCAGCTACTCTGAAAGCTAAAGCAAGAAGATTGCCATTTTGAGAATTGCGTGGGCAACTTGGTGAGACTGTCTCACACCTATGTGTGGCTGACAAATAGAGTGCTTACCTGGAATGAGTGAGCATTGGATTTAGTTCCTCGCTCCTCGAAAAAAAGGATATTTTAACAGCATAGATAGTAATACACCTATGTGTTTCGGCACCTTCATTGCACTCTCTGTGCATGGTAGATGCTTCTGTATTGGTACCTGGAAGGTGACTCGTTAGCACTTCAGTGGATGCATCACTTATCATTGATTATTAATTTGGTCTGCATACTTGGAGACAGTTAAAAATATAACATTTGACAAAGGCTTAGACTTGAGATCACATGTAACTGCAAACCTTACAGGTGAATATGAGAAGGGTGTGGACCATCTGACAAATGCCATCGCTGTATGTGGGCAGCCACAGCAGCTGCTGCAGGTGTTACAGCAGACTCTGCCGCCTCCAGTGTTCCAGATGCTTCTGACCAAGCTTCCCACCATTAGTCAGGTAAGAGTTTAGAAAGTGTCTAGTGTGAGCGAGACAGATGGAAATCTATCCTTATCTTTCTTAATGGTGTAAAGCTCCTGGTGAATCAAGATGATGGTAAGTTTTGGAGCTCCTTTCATAACCTAGATTTATTTTTCTTAATATAGGAAGATAAAGGTATCTCATGTTGCTTAGAGATCACATTAAATGAGACAGCAGGTTTTTGGTTTTTTTAAATATATTGGTCAGTCGTGGGTCCTGAACTCAGGGCCGGCCTGGGTGCTGTCCATGAGTTCTTTTGCTTGAGCAAAAGCACTGGTTTTCTTGGTGGTTAATTAGAGATAAGAGTCTCATGCTCTTTCCTGCCTGGGTTGGCTATGAACTGAGTGAGATCCTTAGATCTCAGCCTCTTGAGTAGTTAGGATTACAAGTGTGAGCCACCAGCACCTGGCTTAAAGCAATTTATTTTTTTGTTTTTTGTTTTTGTTTTGTTTTTGGGTCCAGTCGTGGGGCCTGAACTCCGGGTCTGGGCACTGTCCCTCAGCTCTTCAGCTCAAGGCTAGTGCTCTACCACTTGAGCCACAGTGCCACTTCTGGCTTTTTTTCTTTTTGCTTATGTGGTGCTGAGGAATCGAACCCAGGGCCTCAGGCATGCAAGGCAAGCGCTCTACCGCTGAGCCACCTTCCCAGCCCAAGCAATTTATTTTTTATTCAGTATTTTTACCATATGGGTCATTTGTAAAAGTAAGTATGTCCAGCTCAGCAAAGTGACTTAGCCTGAAATCCTAATTGCCTGAGAGATCAGGAGATTGAAATTTGAGGCCAGTGTGGGTGTGTAAAAGTTTGTGAATGGTGAAGGAAGTTTTCACAGAATGTTACAGTAAAGTAAGTTTTTCAACCCTCTTCCTACCCTTCATGGCAGTAGGCATGAAACCCAGGGACCTGTACAGCCTATGCTAGACAAACTAGATGTCATTCTTCTGAAATAGTGACCTGACTGAGGGTACATTTCACAATCTGTAGGTTCAGAATGAAGCCTAAATTTCTCTGTAAAAATGGCCACCCTTAGTCAGCTTGTCTTGTGTTACTTGCCAGTGTTTTTCATATGCTAATTTCAGACCACAGTATTCCTTCTTCCTGTAATTGCTGTGAACTAAAAAGGGAAGTGTTTGGGGCATGAGATGGTAAGGTGCTGATGCTGTTTGTGTGGGAGTGAACCTAAGCTATATAATTGACTGATAGATGGACACATCCTATATTGAGCTCTGTCATGGCTGACATCATTTTATTAGGTGATAACAGTGCCCATAAGTATTAAGTGTCAGTCGATACCTATACCAAGATTTGACACTTAGACTAGAAAGTACATTTTATGTTGAACTCAGAATCCTGATTGAGTGCTTTTGATACTTTAAAATTAAAGTTGTGTTTTTTTCTTTCTAGAGAATTGTAAGTGCTCAGAGCTTGGCCGAAGATGATGTGGAATGAGAAATAACAGCATAATAAAGTCTCAGTTAAAATGATTTGCAAATTCTTAACCTGGAAGTTGAGCAGCTCTGGGGGAGTCATATCTACCAAAGTTAGTCTGCTTTGTGTAGATGTATTTCATTTTTATTTATTTTCCCGGTGAAGTGTATTTTGATAGAGAGCCTTTCCTTTATAAATACACTGCGTTAACAAAATGCCACGGGTTTCGTTGATTCCTTAAGACCTGCCACTCAGCTGCTCCTGTGGCAGCATTGGTTCCTTAGGTTTGGAGCGCCTTCCTGCCCGCCTCATCGTCTTCCAGCTGACTCCTGTCAGTCCTTGTACGTATGTGCGTCCGCGGCCCTGTGCAGTTCAGAACCCAGAAGAAAACCCTTCTGCACACCCCTCGGCATCTCCTGTGGGTGTCTGGGCACAGGGTGGCCCACCGAGCCGGCCCCCAGTGCCAGCAGGTGGCTGGTGCTCCTGTGGGGTGGCTCTATAATGGCTGTCCTGGGAGCTGGGTCAGAAAGGGCAGTGCACATGCGCATCCCCCGGTGGCCGCCTTAGCTTGGGCAGGGCCTCCTCTCCACGGGTCCTCAGGGTGCATGCGCGCCCCTGGCAGCGGCCCTGGGTGTGCACACCTGCTGCTCACAGGGAAAGAAGCCCCAGGCTGGGGCTGGCTTTGGTGGCCGATGCTGGGGCTCCCCTGACTGTTGGCCCCGGCCTGGCCCAAGCACCCTTCTAGAGCCCCCAGGCCTCGGCAGCAAGCCCTGCTGGCTGGCGCCTGTCCCTCGCCGGCTGCGCAGGAGCTGTTCCCCTTGCGTGGTTCTACAGTGCTCTCGCATGGCTGTTCGTCTGGCCTACGTGGAGCTAGGACTGGACCCAGGACTGGGTGCCCCTTAGCGTCTTCATGTGAGGTTGGTGCTCTACTGTGAGCCCCACCTCCCCTCTATCCGTTCATTTGAGGTAAGAGTGCCAGGTGGCGTCAAACCACAATCCTCAGATCCTAACCTCCTGAGCGGATCGGAGGGCAGGCAGGAGCCCACTCAGTGCACACCGGCTGGGCTCTGGTACCAGAGTCAGGCTGCACCAGCCAGTGCCCAGTAACTTCCCACACGTGAGGGAAGGAAACTAGAGAGAATAGATTTGAATTATCTATCTAAATGCTATTTTATATTATCCTCAGACATCTAAATTGGACAAGAAATTGAAAAGAGAGACAACAGCCACTGGACTCTAATCCTAAGCCACTCAGGAGGCTGAGACCTGAGGGTCACAGTTCAGAGCCATCCTAGGTGGGAAAGTCCTGGAGACTCATTCCCAGTTAACTCCCAAAAATACATGCAAAAGCTGGAAGTGGAGCTGTGGCTCCAGTGGTAGAGTGCTAGCATTGAATGAAAAAAAGAAAATGCAGGGGCAGCTCCCAGGCCCTGAGTTCAACTAGGATTGGCACCAAAGGTCATGTGTGTATTGGGGCAGGGGAATTAATAGCAGGTTCTAGACCTCCAAACCTGGGACCCCTGAAACTGCCTGTGTCCCAACCCCCACCCCAGCTCTCCAGCTACACCCAAAGCTAGCTGCTGGGCTCCACACCGCCGCCACTCCCGGAAGCACACCCCTGGGGCTTGGATCATGGAAGGAGAGAGACCTGAGACCTATCAGGGCACAGGCAGAGCGCACGTGTCCTCCATGTGTCTGGGCAGAGGTGAGCTGGCCTGTCTCCACCTGTCAGTGGCTTTGAGGCTGCAGCAGTGGGGATGGCACTGGGGTTCATTCACAGCAATTTGGGCAGCTTGGCCTCTGGGTTGGGTTGGGAGGTTCTTGCCTTCAAATACGCTGCCTTTCCTCTTACCACAGGAAAAGACGAATGCAGCTTTGTCCCCAGCTGTGTGGTCAGTTATGACAGCTTCAGCCATGCCTGGAAATGGGCACAGACCACCCCAATGAGGCCAGGGCAGAGGAGGGGCTCCCTGGGGCCTCATCATTGGGCAGAGAAAGGGCTCCTCTGAGCCAGGATGCCAGCCCCCCACAGGGTTCTCCTCCATGTGTGGCTATGTGTGCAGGCAGATCCCTCACACAGTGGAGGTGGCCCCAGACTGTGGCTTTCCAACTCAGACGGGAATAGTTTGTTTCTGTCTCTGTCCTGCCCGGTAAGCTTTACTTTGCATCTTTCTTTGGTGTAGTTATCAAAAGAAGGGACTGGATGGATAGTCTGGAAGTCACAAACATTCAGTCTCCCATTAGGCAGGAAGAAGAAACAAACTTCCTTCCTGGGCCACAGGTTAGGATTCTTTTCTGTTGTCCAAGGTGAGGAGTGCAGTGGAACACAAGGCTCCAGCGCCTGCCTGGGTGTTCCACATGAGGCCGAGGCCAGAGGCAGGGATGGCATTGTGGGGGGGGAGGGCAGACATTGAGGGGCCAGTGTCCTAGCCTCTGCAGTGCCAGTGTGGGGCAGGGCATGAGGGGAGAGGTCAGCTGGCTTGGCTGGACAGCAGTCCCCAACCCATCTCAGACAGTGGGCATAAGTTGGCAGGCTCCCCACTGCCCTGCTTTCATCTGCTTGCTGTTTCTCTGCATCCCTTTAATAAAAGGCCACGGCCTGACCCAGATGTGTTCAACGGGGTCCACCTTGCTGCTGTGCCCAGCTTCTGCCTCCTGGCCCTCCTCACCCACAGCACCTCTCCAGTCCTTTACCTTGACTTTTTTTTTTTTTTTTTTTTTGTCGGTCATGGGGCTTGAACTCGGCCTGGGCGCTGTCCCTCAGCTCTTCAGCTCAAGGCGAGCGCTCTACCACTTGAGCTACAGCGCCACTTCCGGTTTTCTGGTGGTTTATTGGAGATAGGAGTCTCAAGGTCTCTCCTGCCCAGGCTGGCTTTGAACCGCGATCCTCAGATCTCAGCCTCCTGAGTAGCTAGGATTACAGGCGTGAGCCACCAGCGCCCGGCTTACCTTGACATTTTAAAGTTCCCAAGCTCTCATGTTATGGTGGGCTGGGAATGCCGAGAACCAGGGGACCCAGGCAGCCTCTGCAGGACAGTTGGCACACGCTTGGCTCAAGGCTCCAGCCAGTGCCAGAGGCTGCTGGCTTGCCAGCGTGCCTCCTGCTCCTACTGTCCTCCCACAGCATCTCATCACCATTCACTGCGCAGGCTCCCTGACGCCCAAAAACCTAGTGCACACACAAAGTGAAGGGCTGGCAGATGCTTGTGCAGGCAGCTGGGTGTGTGCAGGCAGCTGGGTGCACAGTGGACAGGACAGGGCTTGAGCTGCAGCTGCTGGACCTGATCAGCTCTGCCAGGCTGATCAACCTGTTGATTTCTCTTTTCCTTTTTTTGGGGGGGGGGTCCGGTTCTGGGGCCTGAACTCTGGGCCTGGGCACTATCCCTCAGCTCTTCATCTCAAGGCTAGCGCTCTACCACTTGAGCCACAGAGCCACTTTCGGCGCTTTTTTTCTGTGTATGTGGTGCTGAGGAATCGAACCCAGGGCCTTATGCATGCAAGGCAAGCACTCTACCACTGAGCCACCTTCCCAGCCCCCCTCCCCCCGTGTTGATTTCTGAGCCTCCTGCGTGCACCCAGAGTGGACACCACAGGCGTTCCCAAAGGAGAAGCAATTGCACAGACATAGCTGTACCCTAAATCTTGCCGTAGGACACTGCATTCTGTGTGTGTGTGTGTGTGTGTGTGTGTGTGTGTGTTGGGGCCTGGGTATTGTCCATGAACTTTTTTTTTCCCCTCAAAGCTACTGCTCTAGCACTTGAGCCACAGCCCCACTTGTGGCTTTTTTTCATGGCAAATTGGAGATAAGGATCTCACTGACTTTTCTGCCTGGCCTGGCTTTGAACATCAATCTTTAGATCTCAGCCTCCTGAGTAGTTAGTATGACAGACATGAGATCACATTGCATTTTGATGGACCACACACCAGCAGTGACATACTGATCCCTATATGCCCAGAATCAATGGGCCAACTGCTGGAGGGGGCGTCGGGGTCAGAAGCCCTGAACCTAGTCTGAAATTATCCCATCTTTCTGAGCTAATCAGCTCAGAGGCCTGGGGAAAGGGGAAAGGTGCCCAGCACGCACTGGTTGGCCTGGGGGGAAAGGGGGTATGTGGTTAGTTGAGTGAGCATCCTGGAGACCCCCACCTACCCACTACAATAGGTGAGCACAGGCATGTGCGACTGACACCAGGTTTTGCCAGATAATGCTTGGCCTTCACACAGGTGATGGTTTGATGCTGGGAACAGCATCTCTGCTGTTGGCCACAGAGCCACCCCGCTGACCAGTGTGCCCCCACTGTGTCCCTGGGCGGAGGCCTTCCTTAACTGGAGGCCCATCCAGGATCCCTCCCTGCATGGCTCAGGGCCCCTGCTAGGGAGAAAAACACAATTTGGGAAACACACACTGGAAACTGACTTCTTTACATCCTTGGTGAAGGACTGTGTCATCCATTTCTTTTCTTTTTTTTTTTTTTTTGGTTGGTCATGGAGCCTGAACTCTGGGCCTGGGTGCTGTCTCAGCTCTTCAGCTCAAGGCTAGCGCTCTATCACTTGAGCCACAGCGCCACCTCTGGCTTTTTCTGCTTATGTGGTGCTGAGGATCAAACCCAGGGCCTTATACATGTGAGGCAAGCACTCTACCACTGAGCCCCTTCCCAGCCCCTGTGAAATCCATTTCTTTGGTAAATCACAGAGCAATAATGAGTTTGTCTACTGTTACAGATACTGAAATCCTTATATAGAAGGTTCCAGACAAAGAAAAGCACCAGGTGCTATTGATGGGACAGTCTGAACAGACATGAACAATACAATCCTTATGAAATAAAGATTTTTTTTTTGTAGCAAGTACTTGATGTGGGGCATATATGTCTGTAATCCCAGCAGGAGGATGGTTAGTGTGAGGCCAGCCTGAGTCACAAACAACAGTAATAATTATAATTCATGGCAATAGGAAAAAGCACTTGACTTGTGAAAAAAGCAACTTTCAAACAGGCCAGTGAGGATCTTGGAATGTGGCTCAGTGGTAGAGTGTTTGTCTCACATGCATGAAGCCCTGGGTTCCATTCCTCAGTACCACATACACAGAAAAAGCCAGAAGTGGCACTGTGGCTTAAGTGGTAGAGGGCTAGCCTTGAGCAATAGAAGCTCAGGGACAATGCCCAGGCCCTGAGTTCAAACCCCAGGACTGGCAAAAAACAAACAAAAACAGGTCAGGGA